ATACGTGTATAATAGCCAGCACAGTTTTTAATTTGTTTACTTAATTCCAGCCGACATAATAATAAAATAAGTTGGTTTAATTATTAAATAAAAACTACYGCAACCGCACTAATTATCTGTATCGAATTTTATTATTATACATAAATAGTTGCTTATGTTTAAGTTGGTGTCTCCGTGGAAATTGTCGTCGTTGTTATAATTAGATTTGCGATATTTGCGTATTGCATGTATTGCATCATCGTACCTTATAATTTTTGTCAGTAATCAACGGTTAACTCAATACCCGACCAGACTTTATGGTTATGGCGGATTGAGTGCTTTAGGCCGTCACGTCGCATACTCGTATATACCTTTTCGTATATGTAAGCAATTTAAAGTCTATGACCGTGTTTGAGTACCTATCTAGCAAGTCGGTCATCATCGGCAATATTCTATAGGTAACTGACTATTAATTTTAGACAACACGTTGAACAACAATAAGTAACATTGCAGTGTTTCGCAGAAACTATAGTTTAAATATTATATATTATACTATTATAGTCATAAGATCACATAATATAATAATATATGAAGATCGAGTGTAGTCACTCACATGGGCGTTTACCCTATGCGTTTGCATACCCTTCGGGCAGACGCTTGGGAGCACATGAACAAATTAGCAACCAAAAGTGTAAGATGAAATGTCATGCTCATTAATTTTATGATCATTTATATCTGTGGGAGAGGGGCATATTTTATCAGCCGCATACCCTGCAAATAAAGTCTGCGCACGCCTATGATTTTTATTTGTATACACTATACATATTCCAGAGCTTTAATTACGTGCTTTATTGTACGTTATTGTATAAACAATAAATTCAACGCTCTGCTCAGAATCTAAAACACGAACATTTGTTGACATTTTAATATTATAATTAAAACAATTGAATTGGGAATTTCGAAAAGGGCTTATATCGTTATATCTGAAAATTAAAATTTTTTAGGAAACTCAAAAAAACTGATTGTCTTTTTAATTTTGTGTCCTTTTCGAAATTTTTCTAAAAATAGGATGTTTATTTCAACACAATAGAAAACGGATATGGTCCCTTTWCGCTCATAAAATATCGGTCTATATGTGTAAATGAAAAAAATGCGAAAAAATCTATTTTGGTAAAAATTCGCGATGGGCCCTTTTCGAAATTCCCAATTCAATTATTTGGTAACCGTAGATGGTAGATCATCTTTGTTAAGATCACGTAATCGATTTATTTTAGTTTTATTTTCTATAAATAAATTTTGATAAAACCCTAAAAATGTAATACAACTAATACAAGGTTCTTTATAAATTGTAATTTGCATGTCAATTAACCTTATGTTTTAAGTACCTACTCAATATGCATTTGATACTTATTCTTTCAAGACTCAACACTCCCAATCACTTTGATGCCAGTCCATTATGGTAGTTTGTGGCTTGTGGGGTTTTAAAATCCAGATTTTCTTAATTTTTTTGCTTAAATAATAAGTTTCCTGATGTATATTTTTGTGAATTTTCAATTCATCAGAATAACTTTCCTGAATTTGATACTACTAACAAGACGTGTTTTCCAGATAATATTAGCATGATAGAATTCTATAATCAATGATATTATTTACCATAATAAAAGTATTTCGGACAAATATTTTCCTGAATTTGTTTCTGACGAAAATGTTCTTGAAAATTACGCGCCATCTATTAGAACTATGGTCTATGATAAACTGTTTATTTTCTTGTGATATAAACCGTTTTTATTACCATCTAAAAAAATATACTATATAGATAAGAGACAGTTATTATTTAATGTTTATTATTATCATTTATCTCTGAACCTTTTTAAAAATTTCAACCTCAAGTCTGATCTGAAGTTATCAAAATAACATCAAATCGTTTAAATAATTAATACTTGTTCAATTAATAATAAATTACTGTTATTATGGAATGATAAATACAAATATAGCCTAAAATGTATACTTTTAATCAATTAGAGTTCCAGCAGTTATAACACTTAAAACTAACAAACGAGCTAATACAATGATTGAATTTAATACTGTATTTTTTTGTTTATTTTCCATCTTACTGTATTCTTTAAAATGGTGAGTTAATTTCATTTTGATGACGAATTATTAATTAATTTCCGTTGACTCTGAAACTTAAATTTAGGTTGTTACCCAAAGCCATCAGTTTATATCTCAAATATAAATACCATTTGAACATAAAAATTGGCACAGCTGGTATATTCTCATTACAAGATATAATTTTCTTAAAAAATGGTTATTCAGTGGTATGTTGCAAATAAAATCTGAATTCTATGACATTTCTATGAATTATTATATTTTACAGCACATAGATAATATTGGTTTCCGGAGTAGCTTTATTAGTAGTGAAGTCAATAAATTGGTATGTCTTGTAGCTCGTGATGAGAGAATTATTGAAAAAAACATAGAAAGAAATGATGCCACTATTAAACAAAAAAACCAAAACAGTAATAAAGTTGAAGATATATTGCCAATTGTCATGAAATTTGCACAAGTAAATAAATTGATGCTTTTAAAACCAGAATGTTTTTAAAAGTATAATTTTAATTTTAATTTTTAGTTTTTAGCTGTTCGAATAAGTCGTATTTCTATAATGTCATTACAACCAAATACTCCTGAATGGCTCTTTATTGTATCAGTGATAGATCTCCACTTGGATGCATCTGTCATTGGATCATCAAGGCAATTATTAGCTAATGTCAACGCTCCATATGCTGAAGCAAAATTACTTCGTCATCCTATGAATCCAAACTCATGTTGTTTAGCAAAGATTACTGTTAATGTATGTGCTGAAAGCATATTAGACGCACATGGACCTTTATCGATTGAGTCACTAATGTTGAAACTTGATAAATCAAAAATTGTACTAAACAAAGGTCTGTATAGTTTTATTCAAAATAATAGTGTCAGTTCCACACTGTCTACAAAGGATAAAGATCAAAGTAGTTTGGATATAGCTACAAAAAACATTCTACTTTCCATACCACCATTAATACCTAAGGTTAGTTTAATTATTTATATTTATTTGTTAATTTTTAATAACTAATGTTCTTGTTTGTATAGAAAATAAAAATACATCTAGAAGAGCTGACAATTGTTGATGTAAAAGATAATTTAGTTACAGAAATGAAATCAGAATTGAAATTATTGACTATAGAAAATCTTATAATTCCTGATGACAATAATGTTTCAATAAAACAAAGTAACATAATAAATAATTGTTCGAGTACAAAAATACTTTTTTTTAAATCATTAATCTTATAGGTAATCTTTCATTAAAAGTAAATTTTGAAAGTTTGTGTTTGATTGGTCATGAAGAAACTTATGTTTCACTAGAAAAGTTTTCATTTGAAGCTAAGGTATAAATTTATAAAAATGAATTATTTTATTGGTTTATTGTAACATTGTGAAAAAAAATAAAATATTTTTTCTTATTTGCCTAGTACTTTAAGAAATCATTAAAATTTGATCTAAAGATAAATAATGTGTACACTTTGTATTCACATGATGATATTTACCAATGGTATACTTCTTATACTGATCAAATGTTGCATCCATATCAGGTAAAATATGAATCTCCTTTTATATTTGTATAAGCTTAATCACATGACTCTTAACGCAAAAAAAAAAAAATGTTTGTATTTAATGTGTATTATTTTGTTATTTTCCCACAAGAACCAAAAGTTAGGTTTTTTAAAAATTTAAATTGTTGCTTAAGTTTACTTAAAAGATATACCGGGTGTCCTGTGAGGATAAACCCATTAGTCGTAGAAGGAGATTTGCCGCTTAGGCAAAAACTGGTTTTTTGCCCTTTTATCTATAGACAAAAAAATTATTAAAAATCAAGAGATTAATGAAAATAAAATGTTGAAAGGTCAAAATTTTCAGCAAAATAGACTATAAAATAAGTATCTTTATTTTTTTATCTAAAAATGTAATTAAATTAAAAAATAAAATATATGTAACCCTTGTATATATGAGTCTAATAAAAAAAAAAAACAGATTTATAATATATTTATTATCTCAGGATATATCACAATCCTCGTGGAACATGGTCTACATAAAATTTTAACTTATTTTTTTTCTTATAGCAGAATTATATATTTTAAATTCAAAATATTATTATCTATTGAAAATCTTTTTAAATTATAGACTTAGGATACTTAATATTAATAAGATCTATTGATTAATGACCTAAATAAATATTTGTAATATTTAGTTGAATTATGTGATCACAAAGCAATTATTAAATTGCACATCTTATACTTAGCCTCTAGTATTGTCTTCAAAAGAAATTATTATTATAAATATGTTGTTTTTTAGTTAAAATCAACTTCACCTTTACCAACAAATAAATTGTTTATTTCACCAAATAGTGCAATGGATGATATTAGTATAGATTTATTGGTTCAGTTTTTAAATGTTACAACAACATGTAGACTTGGGTCAGAATGTGCGTCAGTTAGTTTAAATAAATTTAAACTAATGTTTTCTTGTAATCCAATTTTAAGTTAGTATTTATTATATTAATTCATTATTTTATWCTAATATTTTATTCATTGAATGTATTTGTTTGACTAGGAAATGAAAATCATGATAAAGTGTTTGGAAATTTGCATATTGGGCTATGTCATAGGAAATGGACTAGTGATTTGATGTTAGAAACTGTACGTTGTTGGTTAAAACCATTTACAAATACTGAATACAGTCCGGGTATGAAAAAATGTCATTCTTGGGGTACACCCTTATTTATTGGCCTAGTTTTGGTACAGGTAACTAGTTAAATTCTTATTTTAAGACTCAATTTATTTATTCAGTTTTTTTTTAAATTAATTATTAGATCAAAAATTCTGTCCCATCAAATGCACCTAGACTTATATTTTACTTGATACTGTACGCTTAGAATGGAGTCCACCACTTGCTCAGTTTATATTGAGGRCACATAATTCTTTACAGCAGTAAGTTATATATTATATATTTATTCAAGATACATAATGTAATATTTTATTAAATAAAATAACTTTTTTCTCTTGTATACTGATTAAAGTATTGAATTATTTTAATAAGTATCTATTTTAACCTTTCTATAGAATTGTTTCTGCTTTGGGAATAAATTTGAAATCAGAAAGTAATCAATTTGATATTGAASATCAACACTTTTCATTATTTAAGATAATAACAACTAGTATTTCTGTAACAAATGCAAATGTTTTTCTTATTGCAGATAAAAAAAGTTTGTTTTTATTCTACTAACAAAATATACYTATAGYAAATTTMTTTTTTATTTGATTTATAGTTTGTGTTTTGGTACGTGTGGATACTATTTCTGCAGAYATTGGAACTACAAGAATAATTTGTGCAATTGAAGGTTTTAAATGTGATTCTTTAGTACCAACTAAATATCATTATGTTTGTACGTCTTCTGACGATGTTAAGGTACTATTCACTTTTATAAATTAATTAAATTCCGAGAAAATACACATTGTTAACAATGATATAACAACTTATATAGAGCTGGTGGCTTCACATTAAGTCATTAAAATTGGAAAAAATTCTGGAAACTAAAGAAATATTAATTGAAATCAATGAAATATTTGAATGTCGTTGGAGTGCAAATGTTCACCTTAAACTATTGA